ACAAAAGAATAGAACAACAATGGACAGGAAACAGATGAGATGTTCCATGCCCAGAGGTGTTTGCATATTCCCACCAATTACCTATGATACAGGTATGCTACATAGAACAACATGCATAAACCAATGCAGTATTTGTTTGTGGCTTCATGCCTGCACAGCAGTGCGGTGCCTAGAGACACTAAAGCATCCATCATATCTACAGATGGCATCTGCACAATCCTATTTGTTAAAAAAATTAGACAGGAAGATGACGTTGCTTCTCCTCCCATCCTCTCTGGGAACTCAGACAATCTTGCAAGCTATGAAAATGGCCCATCCAAGTTGAAATGTCACACATAACTGCCAGTCTTGGCTTAACTTCCCAATAAACTAGCCATGTAATGAAGACAACCAAATGTCTGTTAGCAACCCCTTTCCTAAACAACACAGACATTATGCTTTAACTGAAGTACCATAGTTCAGTAAAATATAGCATTCTGTCCTTACTGCTGGTTTTAGGTACTTCTGCAAAGACTTCAAAAGTGTATTAAAAATATTATGATTGTCAAATTTATATGCCAACTGGCTCCTTCTATTAGGAACTCTGCAATGATGAAGCACAGGCAAAAATATTTGTTTATTTTTAAATTTGTACGCTGCCAGAGTCCCAGTGATTGGAAAAATGATTAAATGGTGCACTGGTGGACTTGTTTTTAAAAAGAAACCAGCAGAAAAGTAGCCAGCCAAAAATACTAAACCCCAACTTTTGAACTGGAGATGGTTTGCAGTCAGGCATTTGTTACAACCATTAGGCTAGCAAGAAACACCTGTTACAACAGCTCCTGGCACAGATTTCATTGAGGGCCATGAGCCAAGGGGTCATTGCTGCCTCTGCAAAACAACCAATCCAAGTGTAGGGAGTGGCCTAGAAGGAAGCAACATGTAGCAGGCAAACTGGGTGGCAGGGCTTAGGCTGAAAGAGATGGGAAAACACTTCTTTAAAAGCCACACAGAAAAATATACCTTGAGGTTAGGTTCGTGGTGGTGGTGGGGTGAGTATAGGGAGATGTCCTCCATTCCTGTTGCTGGCCTTTATGGGAATGACAGTGGAGGTAAGCCAGACAACTCTTGTCCGGTACTCATTTACTTGAAAGTTACTTGAGGAGTGTTTTTAAAAATCAGACAGACAGGGCCAGGGATGAAAAGAAGGAAGAATGAAGAATGAAATAGAAACAGGCTTTGTTTTAGGGAAGAAATGGAAGGCTGACTT